CTGCTTTATGTCAAATCGTTGCACATATCCTGTAACGGAGGTAGTATATATACTCTTGTGATAAAATCAATCCACAAAAATGAAATTGATTATTGTCATGCTAATTAGTAAATTAGAGGCATAAATAAGTCATATGACATCTATAAAGACTAAACAAATATGATTATCAACATCCGTAAAACACAAATTTGTAGAATTAACTCAATAATAAATGACTTGCTATTATAAGTTGTATGAAAAAATCACACAACAACGTAAGCTACTAATTATGGATTTTTTTTTAATTTATTTTTATTTTTATTTACAAATAGCCTGAGGTACGTGGCATGTAAGTATGAAAGCTTGAAATTGAACATTGGTTCATTTACCTACCGTACCACACGGTTTGGACAAGCATCGAACGGCGCGGTATAACCCCGTAATGAAGTACCACCATTCACCATATAGAGGCATAGTATAGACCATACTTGCTACTTTCTTCTTCTGCCTACATTCTGTTTACGTGGTACTACACCTACTCCTCTACTATACATCACCATTTTGTTTGCCCTACACTATATGATTGTTTGTCAATAAATCATTCCATCTATCCAAATTAAGATTGACCTTATTCTAGGGTAATTATTGTATAACTTCACTTAATAATGGAGTATAAGCATATAGTTAAGTATGGTCGCTTGAGGCTTGATCGGTATTATTACGCTAGGTTAAGTTCAGCTTAGCGTTTTTTTTTTTTTTTTTTTTTTTTTTTTTTTTTTTTTTTTTTTTTTCAGAAGTTCAGCTTAGCTTATATGCTTAATTCGAAATAAATGACCGGATCAGATTGAAATTTTGATTTATTTCGTTACTTATTGCTAAATATCGATCTTTAACTTCATATATATTTCAAATACTTATGCAAATTTCATATTTTAAAAGTACAAATTATGTCGAAATAAATCTAATGTAGTAATTTTAATATGAAGAAGTGATGCATGTACAAATTATGTCGAATTTTAGTCAAATAAGAAAAATCCAAGTCAGTCAAATATGAAGGTGTTTTTGTATTTCAATTTTGAAATTGTAAGTCATGTACGACACACGATTACTTATCAAATTAGTTGTCCTTATTATTAAGGAAGTTTTAGATTTTAACACCTCACAAAAACGCAAAAATTGATTTTAATACCTCCATAAAAAAAATGGATTTTAACACCAGATAAATTTCTACAAATTTGGTATTACCACCACTTAACTGATTCTGTTTAGAAATCCGTTAAGTGGGTCTATAAGCCACGTGTCATGTTATTATTGGCCAAAAAAAGAAAAAAAAAGAAAAAAAAAAATTAAAAAAAAAAAGAAAAAAAAATAAAAACCTAAAACTACCCAGCCACCACCACAGCACCACCCCCGCGCCACCGCCGCCTTCCCCCCAATTCACCACAATCCTCCCCGAAACCACCACCCATGTCGCACCACCACCCCCAACCACCTGAACCCTCCCCCTCCCTTTCCCGCAACCGTTACGCCCCCAAAACCACCAAACCCAAAACCCTCGTCCCCCCTAAATGGCCACGAATCCGGCCTTAAAAGGCCGAAATCGTCCGGTTAAGGCCACTAATCCCCAAAACTGGCCGATTTCGGCCTTTTAAGGCCGGATTCGTGGCCGTTTAGGGGGGACAAGGGTTTTGGGTTTGGTGGTTTTGGGGGCGTTACGGTTGCGGGAAAGGGAGGGGGAGGGTTCAGGTGGGTTGGGCGTGGTGGTGCGACACGGGTGGTGGTTTCGGGGAGGGCTGTGTTGAGTTGGGGGGAAGGCGGCGGTGGCGCGGGGGTGGTGCTGTGGTGGTGGCTGGGTAGATTTGGTTTTTATTTTATTTATTTATTTATTTATTTAAATTTCTCTTTTTTTGTAACAAATAAAATGCTGACACGTGTTATTGTGGGCCACAGTTAACAGAATTTTCGGATGGAAACCGTTAAGTGGTGGTAATACCAATTTTTTGAAAATTTATCTGGTGTTAAAATCCATTTTTTTTATGGGGGTGTTAAAATCAATTTTCGTGTTTTTGTGAGGTGTTAAAATCTAAAATAACCTACTATTAAATCTTGGCAAAACACATGACATGCAACAACGAATGAACTCACTACTCATTGCATCACCTATACAATCAACTAAAATTAGTTACTCCGTATTGATCAGTAAATATCATGTCGCTGGTTGATCATTGTATATGCAATTAAGAATTCAAAATGAATATGAAACCAAAAATTGGATACACACCATCAATTGATTTAATAAGCCATTTAGCCAATAGTCATAGGGTAATATGTGCAAGTGTGCAACAAATTTGCATATGCATGTAACTAACGTTCCATACACCTCATAGGAATTGGAATTGGGGAATTTACTTATTATCTCAACAAATTAAGACGTCACCTAATTAGTACGATACTCTTAAATGTTTTGGGTGTTCTGTTGAATGCGCAAATTTCATTACATACTATTCTCTAGTTTGAATGATATTTGTCGCTTCTTTTTATGGTAAGATACAAGATTTATAAGTGACAAACAGCATTTTACCACTTTCATGTATGTGCAATTTGCACTTATTACGATGACATAGAGCCTAAATCATGTTTTAGATTATTTAGCAACACGGAATATGTCATTTTGCGACCATATTTATGTGATAGACCTGCGCATGAACGCTCTATGTGTTGCAACCTAAATTATATATTTTCGGAGCAAAATTCTAAATTATTATCGTTAGTAGAAAATTACACGATGGGTGCATTGAATCAATAAAATAATTTTTTTTTTTTTTTGTAATGCTTACATAAAATACGAAGTACGGAGTAAGTAATTGTTGATAGAACTATTTTAGACACAAAAATTTGTGTATATCCTCTCTGTCCTAAATTAGTTTGCCTAATCAATAAGTATTTGGTGATAACCATTTTACTTTGGTGTTTAAATATCATTTACGGAGAATTATCTTAATCAAAAAGCTAGATGTGAAGAGAGATGAGTGTTGGGCCAAGGGTAGAGGCCTAGAGGGGAGAAGTAATAAATGATAATGACCTTTGTTAAAATAAAATTCAACTATATTAAGACGGATTAAAAAGAAAAGTATAAAAAAGTTAATTAGTTTTAATTTTATCGCATATTTAAACATTAAAATGTAGCTACTATGGAAAAAAAAACCACTAATCAAAATAAACTTATTAATCACAATTTGTAAACTATTTTGTTACTATGTATGTTTATCTAACGGCAAACATAAAGTAATACATACCAAAATAAAAACCACTATTAAAAGTAACGGGGTGATTTGTGTTTAATAGAACTTGTGGGCGCCTGGCGATACTACCAATAAATACACTAAAACATGAGTTGGCAATCGACAATCAACAATCAACATTCAACAAATGTATCTCCTATTGGCAAGAAGCTTTTCAGTTATAAACTTTAAATGAATGAATAGTAATCTTTCTAATTACACAAACTTAGAATCCATAAATTAAGCAAATGATGAGTCCTTTTCACCAAAATAGAGAGATCAAAGCTTATAATCTTTGTTAAGAGATGATTTTGCATATTTTGCCCTCTACGCAGCTTCAAACACGCAGCTAAGGGAGGCAAGTTTAGATTGACCCTAAAGGACACGTTCCACATTCTCCCTATTCCATACTTTTCTTTGAAAAACCATTGAATAATTTTTTTGTTTAAAAAATAAAAATAAAAATACACAAATAAATGTGAATGAATACGGAGTACTAGTAACAGTCTTTGCTAACAAACTATAGTCTAAAAGACTAAAACAATAAAATTTAAAAGCTAAAGGTTTACTTCATGACATCATAGAACATTTCCTATAACTGTTACATGCTCTCTTTGACGAAATTAGTTATAAAGAGATGAAACTAGCAAGTTAGATGTAATGGTAAAAGTTGGCTACTGAAATTGAGAAGTTAGCTGATTGCATGAGCTGTTTGGACTGTAAAGTCGTGTTTTTTCATTCTTTAATATGTATACAATGGTAAGCGATAAATCCAACAAATTCAAGTAATTTGTTATTTTTTTTTGAAAGAAAAAGTATTATTTAAGTCACTAAACTTATCAAAATAATTAAAGATATATTGATGTAGCTCCATGGTTTCAAAAGCTTCTCAATTAGTAAATTCCTAATTTTTTTCATGATAAATTCATTCCAAACAACACTAATTATTCAAACACATTAAAAATAAATGTAGCCTAACAATTAATGGATTACCAAATAAAGCCATATAAAATACAACATATATCGAAAATGACATAATTGTGTAGATCTCAACTAATAGGAACAGAAAAATAAAAAGAATTTCTCGTGAGTTAAAACCAGTTGGTAACAACCAACCAGATAACACTGTCACATGATATTACAAATTTACAGTAACGGAAATACCTCATGTATCACACATATGCAACATAAATAAAAATCACCAAGAGTTTAAGAAGGTGCAATTATAAAGAAAAGGGACTTTGAGAGAGACATAAACTCAAAATAAGAGAGAGAAAACAAAAAAAAATAAAAATAAAAAAAGCATGTAATGTAAAGTGCGGTGCCTTGGGTTAAACTAAGCTAGGACTTATCTCATGTTTGCTTCACGTAAGCAGCTAAAATGTGTCTTTGCTTTTTCGCGTGGCTTTAAAGATTTGTCCTCCTCCTTCTTCCTCTTCTTCTTCTTCCTCTACTTGAACATTTCATTTCTCTCAACCCCAAAAAAAAAAAAAAATATTTACAAAAAATTTAGTGAGAAAAAAAAAAAAACATCATTCATCCCTAAAAAAACAACCAACCCAATAAAACACTCACCTACTTTTACATACACCCTTCTTCTTCTCTTATATCAACCCTCTTCTTAATTCATTCACCAACAAAAAATAAAATTTATGTAAGAACCCTAGTTAAAAAAAAAAAGTCGTTTTTAATATTGATTTGTACTGAATTGAATTAAATTGAATTGAAGTGATCGTTACAATGAGTTGTGCAAACCCTGGGAGTAGTAGTAGCGGAGGGGGAGGGGGAGGAGGAGGGAGTGGAGGAGGAGGAAGTGGCGGTGGCGGACCGTGTGGTGCTTGCAAATTCTTGCGTAGGAAATGTGTGGTAGGGTGCATATTCGCCCCGTATTTCGATTCGGAACAAGGGGCTGCTCATTTTGCAGCGGTGCACAAGGTGTTTGGAGCAAGTAATGTGTCAAAATTGTTGTTACATATTCCTGTGCATAAGAGGCTTGATGCTGTTGTTACCATTTGTTATGAGGCTCAAGCTAGGCTTCGTGACCCCGTTTATGGTTGTGTTGCTCATATCTTTGCTCTTCAACAACAGGTACCATTTTATTAATTATTTATTTAATTAATTATATATCCGAAATTTAAATTTAAACTTTGTGGAATTTTATTTTTCAATCTAAATTGGTTGAAATTCAAGTTGTTTTTTGATGAATTATGGTGTGGTTGTATGACATGTATCTTGGTGGCTTTGTCCTTGTTTTTTTTTTGATGGGTTAAGTTGTTCAGAACTCATTTTCATGAAGCTCTATCACTTTTGAATTAAATTTAATGTACAAGCATTTGATTTGTGTACATACTTGTATTAATTAATGATTTGTTTAAATGGTAAAGTCTCGTGAGGTATGACTAGTAATCTGTTTAATTGTATCATTTTCTTGTGTAGTTCATTTGTAACGACTAAAGATAACAGTTGTCTATTGCATGTAATAATGTTCTTTTACCAAAAGAATATGTGGTATTCATATTTAACCAACTAGTTTGTTCAAATTTTATTAAAATCAACGGGTGAATTTATGTTTAAAAGATTCATTTTCATTCCTATTTTTCTAGAATAAAAAAAATCAATTTTTTTTTAATTATTTACGCGTGAAATTTTCCTCCAAAAGAAAATCATGTAATCCCCCAAGATTTAATTTATCATAATTAATTAAGATGCTTACTGACTTTTTTCTTTTTAATTTTTTTTTTTTTATAATCATTCATTGAATATTTAAAATTGAGTCCATTGTCCTTGTTCATATAGATGACATACAGGTCACATTTTTGTACAGTTTCATCTAATACATATAATCGAATTAAATGCAATTGATCTAATTCTCTCTTATATATAGGATGCATCTATATATAGATTTAGAACACAGTGGCGTCACCAGGATTTTCGAAGTGTGGGTTCGAAACTTCCGAAATTTGAAATCATAATTAACAAAGGAATAAAAATACAATAATTAAATATTCAGTACATAAATAATTTCAAACTATGGATTACAAATAGATTACACATAGAAAAATGAAAAAAAAAAAAAAAAAAAAAAAGCTATAACCGATAAAATCTGATCAAGCTAATACAATGGCAGAGAAGCAACACATTAAATAAATTACAAGTTAACATTAAAAAAAAAGCTACAATATTCTAATTAGCAAGTAAGCATTACATTGCACATATACTATTTAAACTGAATAAGCTACATACTATCATTGTTATAGAGTTAAAATATGGATTCAACTAGTCAAAGAGGCCAACAATCAGCACATATTAACTTAATGACGGAAAAATAATGATAATGGCCATGATATTTCATTGTATCCTTTCACGCATCGCTAGAGCTTAAGGACTTAACCCAATACATGGATCAACATCCCACCTTACATTTATTTCTCATTTGATAAGTTGCCAAACTAACCAAATAGGGATATTAAGTTCAAGTAGCTAAATATTATCGTTTCACTATCGAAGCTTTTCTCATTCTGATTGCTCACTTAGATTATTGTAGCAGATTACTGTCGTTAGCTATGGCTTGACAGAATTCTTATGTGCCGACAATAAAAATGTTCAATTCAATGTAGCTTAGTTAGAGTTAAATTGTGTAGTAGATTCATGTCACAGGATTAATTTCAATTTTTTATATATAATTAATCAGCAATACAAAACCATCACTGAACTCAAAATTATACAAATAAAATTATCAAAGAGTGTTCGCCAAACATCACTTAACTCAAAATCATGCTTCAAACACAGAATAATTAAAGGCCAAATTTTCACGATTGAATTAAAAATTAGCATATATTAAACATAACAATGTAAATAAATTATCTCTAAGATCTATAATATTCATCAATCAAACCCATATCAACGAAATAGCAAATGAAATTATGAAAACTAGAAGGCAGAAACGAAATACAGAAAATAGCATATGAATTGGCAGAAACGAAAGGCAGAAAATAGCATAGCATATGAAAATAGCATACGAAATACAAAAAAATCCCCAAATTGAGAACTTGAGAAGTAAATTAGATAATTATATCCAAACTTCAGCAATTTACAAAACATTGGCAATTCGTAAATCGTAATGTATATTAGCAATTGAATTTAGCATATGAATTTCAATTTTCAAGTATTCAATGATTTAGCAAAAAAAATCCCCAAATTGAGAAGTAAATTACATTTGCAAAAAAAAAAAATCCCCAAATTCACTTACCCCTACATACACCGATACACCATACACGGCTGTGAGGCTGGGTCTGGGTGAGTGGCTGGTGCGCTGCCGGCCTGCCGCTGCCGCCGTGTTCTGCTGACTCTGCTGCCGTGCTGCGCCGGGAAGAGAAGGAGGAAGAACGGGAAGAGATTAAGAGAAGGAGGATTGGAGGAAGAAGTTAGGGTTTTGCAATTTGGGGGAATGAGGAAGAGGAAAGCGAACTCTGGAAGCAGGAAAGCTCAGTGCTCAGGAAACAAAATTAAAAAAAAAAAGTGTGAGTTATGGGTTTTGAACCCACAAACTCTTGTGTGATGGGAGGTAAAAATAACCACTGGGCTACAACTTTACTTGTTGCCATATAATACACAAATATTCTATTTAAACCTATTTTGATTTTTTTTTTTTTTTAAAAAAAAAATTTTTAAATTTTTTTCAAAAAATCAGTGGGTTCAATGAACCCACTTGAACCCACCCTAGTTCCGCCCCTGACCAACGTATAAACTTTTGGATTATAAACTCAAAAAGTAGGTATACCAATAGGCTTTCATGATAGGTTGGTCCAAAAGCTGATATTGATCTTTGACTAGCTTCTTTACACTTTTATACATCAAGTTTTAATTAATTAATTACAACTTTATAGTAGAATTTTTTGATTACTTGTTAAACCCCACATTTTCGCTAATTAAACATAATAAAGAGCCCCCCTTGTCGTGTCACAAGGTGACATCTTGTTGTTAACATACTAAGCTTAGTGATATGATTAGCAATAATAATCCAATGTAGTATCTATTTATAATAATATAAAAATGTAATGTTTTAAAATCCAAATATATTGTTGCATGATTACATATCATAGTGACATAGTTGCATATTACTAGCTACTAGCAAGCAAACGTCTTAGAATAAGGAAATTGTGTTTCCTAGGTTTTTGACTACGCACGAGTGGTCATAAATACACATATATCATACTATAGACTATAGTATTATGATTGAGCATCGATGTCCAATTAATTTATTTAGTCAAAGATAAAGTTCAATCAATTAATGAAGGGCTATTTAAATCGTGAAAGATGATCGTGTGAACGGTGATGCAAATACTTAGGGTCTGTTCTCATTGACTGAAATAAACTAAACTGAACTAAACTGGACTTATTAGAGCTGAACTGAAAATAATCTGATGAGAACATACCCTTAAAATTGTATAAATCTAATACTTCTTACATGTAATGAACTAATGAAGTAGATAAAAAAAAATTGTATATCCATACAAAGTATATATGTCTTGATTACAATGTTAATGAAATTTGACTTGAATCTTATTTGTAAGACAAATTTTAATTATAATGCTGAAATTGAATGAAACTTATGTAACTAACGCTCAATAAATTATTTAAAACTCACTTTTCTATCAGTGTATTGTCTAAAGCACAAAAAGGTACCATGCATATTGAACACAGCATGAATCAATAACCACTTTGACACTTTGTTCTTCATACCACCAATTTAAGGGTCTCTTTTGATCTACTGCACTAATTGAAGTTGAACTGAATTGAACAAAAGTGATTGAAGCTAAATCGAACAGAAGTTAGGTTAAAGATAACACATCCTAAATATAAGTAGCAAATCTATACAAGTACGACATGTTCACATTTAAACAATCCACTAATATAATTTCATACAAGTTTGAGGGCAATGCAATCTGCTACCAAGTGAGATAATTGTTGCACACTTGCACTTAATATATTTTTACTATTATCATAACTCATAAGTAGTGTTACTATTTCTAATTTAACTCTAGTAAAATAAGTGGCGGATGAACCAAGCAAATATAGAGATTGTCAAATGTGGGAGTTGAGGAGATTTCAACTACTCAAATATTTAGCTAGTTTACATTAGTCACGCATTATATTCTTTGGTTGAGAGATGGTCTCATTTCATGTATCGTAAGAATCAATAATAAGATTTGTAGAAGTTTCAAATCTAATTTAGATTTTTTTAAAAAAAATAAAAATAAAATAGGGTCTAATTATGGTAAAATTATGGTCTAATTTAGTTTCTCCATTGATACTTCTATGACTTATAAATTATCTATACAACCTATCTGACCATCATATACCTTTTTTTTTTTTTGAAACAAACCATCATATACCTAATTAATTTGCATTATGTTACCAGCATTAGATTCAATATTTAACTAATAAAGTTCGTAAAAATTAATGTGGGAAAATATATGAAGTATTACATAAAATATGTTTAATTCAATTTATTCGGACTTATTCTATCTATGTAAAAATAAATAAATCATTTCTAAAAAAAATTGCTTGGACCTATACATGTTATGTGTCCCATTCATCTAAGAGTAATTAATATTCAAGCTGACAAAATATTTTATAATCCATATCACAAATATATAATACCGGATTATTGGGGCTTGTTCACATTTACTTAATTTCAGTTCAGTTCAGCTCCTAATTTCCTCTCTCATAAAATATTCATTTCAGCTCCAATCAGTTCAGTTCAGTTTAATTCAGTAAATGTGAACAACCCTTGATCTATTATATATTGATTTATATGGGACGTTACTAAATTAGATCAAAGTCATATTCTTAGTATAGTGTGATTCATAGTTTGTACTACCTCCGTTACAGGTTATGTGCAACAATTAAACATTTTCCCTCTCTGCTTTATGTCAAATCGTTGCACATATCCTGTAACGGAGGTAGTATATATACTCTTGTGATAAAATCAATCCACAAAAATGAAATTGATTATTGTCATGCTAATTAGTAAATTAGAGGCATAAATAAGTCATATGACATCTATAAAGACTAAACAAATATGATTATCAACATCCGTAAAACACAAATTTGTAGAATTAACTCAATAATAAATGACTTGCTATTATAAGTTGTATGAAAAAATCACACAACAACGTAAGCTACTAATTATGGATTTTTTTTTAATTTATTTTTATTTTTATTTACAAATAGCCTGAGGTACGTGGCATGTAAGTATGAAAGCTTGAAATTGAACATTGGTTCATTTACCTACCGTACCACACGGTTTGGACAAGCATCGAACGGCGCGGTATAACCCCGTAATGAAGTACCACCATTCACCATATAGAGGCATAGTATAGACCATACTTGCTACTTTCTTCTTCTGCCTACATTCTGTTTACGTGGTACTACACCTACTCCTCTACTATACATCACCATTTTGTTTGCCCTACACTATATGATTGTTTGTCAATAAATCATTCCATCTATCCAAATTAAGATTGACCTTATTCTAGGGTAATTATTGTATAACTTCACTTAATAATGGAGTATAAGCATATAGTTAAGTATGGTCGCTTGAGGCTTGATCGGTATTATTACGCTAGGTTAAGTTCAGCTTAGCGTTTTTTTTTTTTTTTTTTTTTTTTTTTTTTTTTTTTTTTTTTTTTTCAGAAGTTCAGCTTAGCTTATATGCTTAATTCGAAATAAATGACCGGATCAGATTGAAATTTTGATTTATTTCGTTACTTATTGCTAAATATCGATCTTTAACTTCATATATATTTCAAATACTTATGCAAATTTCATATTTTAAAAGTACAAATTATGTCGAAATAAATCTAATGTAGTAATTTTAATATGAAGAAGTGATGCATGTACAAATTATGTCGAATTTTAGTCAAATAAGAAAAATCCAAGTCAGTCAAATATGAAGGTGTTTTTGTATTTCAATTTTGAAATTGTAAGTCATGTACGACACACGATTACTTATCAAATTAGTTGTCCTTATTATTAAGGAAGTTTTAGATTTTAACACCTCACAAAAACGCAAAAATTGATTTTAATACCTCCATAAAAAAAATGGATTTTAACACCAGATAAATTTCTACAAATTTGGTATTACCACCACTTAACTGATTCTGTTTAGAAATCCGTTAAGTGGGTCTATAAGCCACGTGTCATGTTATTATTGGCCAAAAAAAGAAAAAAAAAGAAAAAAAAAAATTAAAAAAAAAAAGAAAAAAAAATAAAAACCTAAAACTACCCAGCCACCACCACAGCACCACCCCCGCGCCACCGCCGCCTTCCCCCCAATTCACCACAATCCTCCCCGAAACCACCACCCATGTCGCACCACCACCCCCAACCACCTGAACCCTCCCCCTCCCTTTCCCGCAACCGTTACGCCCCCAAAACCACCAAACCCAAAACCCTCGTCCCCCCTAAATGGCCACGAATCCGGCCTTAAAAGGCCGAAATCGTCCGGTTAAGGCCACTAATCCCCAAAACTGGCCGATTTCGGCCTTTTAAGGCCGGATTCGTGGCCGTTTAGGGGGGACAAGGGTTTTGGGTTTGGTGGTTTTGGGGGCGTTACGGTTGCGGGAAAGGGAGGGGGAGGGTTCAGGTGGGTTGGGCGTGGTGGTGCGACACGGGTGGTGGTTTCGGGGAGGGCTGTGTTGAGTTGGGGGGAAGGCGGCGGTGGCGCGGGGGTGGTGCTGTGGTGGTGGCTGGGTAGATTTGGTTTTTATTTTATTTATTTATTTATTTATTTAAATTTCTCTTTTTTTGTAACAAATAAAATGCTGACACGTGTTATTGTGGGCCACAGTTAACAGAATTTTCGGATGGAAACCGTTAAGTGGTGGTAATACCAATTTTTTGAAAATTTATCTGGTGTTAAAATCCATTTTTTTTATGGGGGTGTTAAAATCAATTTTCGTGTTTTTGTGAGGTGTTAAAATCTAAAATAACCTACTATTAAATCTTGGCAAAACACATGACATGCAACAACGAATGAACTCACTACTCATTGCATCACCTATACAATCAACTAAAATTAGTTACTCCGTATTGATCAGTAAATATCATGTCGCTGGTTGATCATTGTATATGCAATTAAGAATTCAAAATGAATATGAAACCAAAAATTGGATACACACCATCAATTGATTTAATAAGCCATTTAGCCAATAGTCATAGGGTAATATGTGCAAGTGTGCAACAAATTTGCATATGCATGTAACTAACGTTCCATACACCTCATAGGAATTGGAATTGGGGAATTTACTTATTATCTCAACAAATTAAGACGTCACCTAATTAGTACGATACTCTTAAATGTTTTGGGTGTTCTGTTGAATGCGCAAATTTCATTACATACTATTCTCTAGTTTGAATGATATTTGTCGCTTCTTTTTATGGTAAGATACAAGATTTATAAGTGACAAACAGCATTTTACCACTTTCATGTATGTGCAATTTGCACTTATTACGATGACATAGAGCCTAAATCATGTTTTAGATTATTTAGCAACACGGAATATGTCATTTTGCGACCATATTTATGTGATAGACCTGCGCATGAACGCTCTATGTGTTGCAACCTAAATTATATATTTTCGGAGCAAAATTCTAAATTATTATCGTTAGTAGAAAATTACACGATGGGTGCATTGAATCAATAAAATAATTTTTTTTTTTTTTTTGTAATGCTTACATAAAATACGAAGTACGGAGTAAGTAATTGTTGATAGAACTATTTTAGACACAAAAATTTGTGTATATCCTCTCTGTCCTAAATTAGTTTGCCTAATCAATAAGTATTTGGTGATAACCATTTTACTTTGGTGTTTAAATATCATTTACGGAGAATTATCTTAATCAAAAAGCTAGATGTGAAGAGAGATGAGTGTTGGGCCAAGGGTAGAGGCCTAGAGGGGAGAAGTAATAAATGATAATGACCTTTGTTAAAATAAAATTCAACTATATTAAGACGGATTAAAAAGAAAAGTATAAAAAAGTTAATTAGTTTTAATTTTATCGCATATTTAAACATTAAAATGTAGCTACTATGGAAAAAAAAACCACTAATCAAAATAAACTTATTAATCACAATTTGTAAACTATTTTGTTACTATGTATGTTTATCTAACGGCAAACATAAAGTAATACATACCAAAATAAAAACCACTATTAAAAGTAACGGGGTGATTTGTGTTTAATAGAACTTGTGGGCGCCTGGCGATACTACCAATAAATACACTAAAACATGAGTTGGCAATCGACAATCAACAATCAACATTCAACAAATGTATCTCCTATTGGCAAGAAGCTTTTCAGTTATAAACTTTAAATGAATGAATAGTAATCTTTCTAATTACACAAACTTAGAATCCATAAATTAAGCAAATGATGAGTCCTTTTCACCAAAATAGAGAGATCAAAGCTTATAATCTTTGTTAAGAGATGATTTTGCATATTTTGCCCTCTACGCAGCTTCAAACACGCAGCTAAGGGAGGCAAGTTTAGATTGACCCTAAAGGACACGTTCCACATTCTCCCTATTCCATACTTTTCTTTGAAAAACCATTGAATAATTTTTTTGTTTAAAAAATAAAAATAAAAATACACAAATAAATGTGAATGAATACGGAGTACTAGTAACAGTCTTTGCTAACAAACTATAGTCTAAAAGACTAAAACAATAAAATTTAAAAGCTAAAGGTTTACTTCATGACATCATAGAACATTTCCTATAACTGTTACATGCTCTCTTTGACGAAATTAGTTATAAAGAGATGAAACTAGCAAGTTAGATGTAATGGTAAAAGTTGGCTACTGAAATTGAGAAGTTAGCTGATTGCATGAGCTGTTTGGACTGTAAAGTCGTGTTTTTTTCATTCTTTAATATGTATACAATGGTAAGCGATAAATCCAACAAATTCAAGTAATTTGTTATTTTTTTTTGAAAGAAAAAGTATTATTTAAGTCACTAAACTTATCAAAATAATTAAAGATATATTGATGTAGCTCCATGGTTTCAAAAGCTTCTCAATTAGTAAATTCCTAATTTTTTTCATGATAAATTCATTCCAAACAACACTAATTATTCAAACACATTAAAAATAAATGTAGCCTAACAATTAATGGATTACCAAATAAAGCCATATAAAATACAACATATATCGAAAATGACATAATTGTGTAGATCTCAACTAATAGGAACAGAAAAATAAAAAGAATTTCTCGTGAGTTAAAACCAGTTGGTAACAACCAACCAGATAACACTGTCACATGATATTACAAATTTACAGTAACGGAAATACCTCATGTATCACACATATGCAACATAAATAAAAATCACCAAGAGTTTAAGAAGGTGCAATTATAAAGAAAAGGGACTTTGAGAGAGACATAAACTCAAAATAAGAGAGAGAAAACAAAAAAAAATAAAAATAAAAAAAGCATGTAATGTAAAGTGCGGTGCCTTGGGTTAAACTAAGCTAGGACTTATCTCATGTTTGCTTCACGTAAGCAGCTAAAATGTGTCTTTGCTTTTTCGCGTGGCTTTAAAGATTTGTCCTCCTCCTTCTTCCTCTTCTTCTTCTTCCTCTACTTGAACATTTCATTTCTCTCAACCCCAAAAAAAAAAAAAATATTTACAAAAAATTTAGTGAGAAAAAAAAAAAACATCATTCATCCCTAAAAAAACAACCAACCCAATAAAACACTCACCTACTTTTACATACACCCTTCTTCTTCTCTTATATCAACCCTCTTCTTAATTCATTCACCAACAAAAAATAAAATTTATGTAAGAACCCTAGTTAAAAAAAAAAAGTCGTTTTTAATATTGATTTGTACTGAATTGAATTAAATTGAATTGAAGTGATCGTTACAATGAGTTGTGCAAACCCTGGGAGTAGTAGTAGCGGAGGGGGAGGGGGAGGAGGAGGGAGTGGAGGAGGAGGAAGTGGCGGTGGCGGACCGTGTGGTGCTTGCAAATTCTTGCGTAGGAAATGTGTGGTAGGGTGCATATTCGCCCCGTATTTCGATTCGGAACAAGGGGCTGCTCATTTTGCAGCGGTGCACAAGGTGTTTGGAGCAAGTAATGTGTCAAAATTGTTGTTACATATTCCTGTGCATAAGAGGCTTGATGCTGTTGTTACCATTTGTTATGAGGCTCAAGCTAGGCTTCGTGACCCCGTTTATGGTTGTGTTGCTCATATCTTTGCTCTTCAACAACAGGTACCATTTTATTAATTATTTATTTAATTAATTATATATCCGAAATTTAAATTTAAACTTTGTGGAATTTTATTTTTCAATCTAAATTGGTTGAAATTCAAGTTGTTTTTTGATGAATTATGGTGTGGTTGTATGACATGTATCTTGGTGGCTTTGTCCTTGTTTTTTTTTTGATGGGTTAAGTTGTTCAGAACTCATTTTCATGAAGCTCTATCACTTTTGAATTAAATTTAATGTACAAGCATTTGATTTGTGTACATACTTGTATTAATTAATGATTTGTTTAAATGGTAAAGTCTCGTGAGGTATGACTAGTAATCTGTTTAATTGTATCATTTTCTTGTGTAGTTCATTTGTAACGACTAAAGATAACAGTTGTCTATTGCATGTAATAATGTTCTTTTACCAAAAGAATATGTGGTATTCATATTTAACCAACTAGTTTGTTCAAATTTTATTAAAATCAACGGGTGAATTTATGTTTAAAAGATTCATTTTCATTCCTATTTTTCTAGAATAAAAAAAATCAATTTTTTTTTAATTATTTACGCGTGAAATTTTCCTCCAAAAGAAAATCATGTAATCCCCCAAGATTTAATTTATCATAATTAATTAAGATGCTTACTGACTTTTTTCTTTTTAATTTTTTTTTTTTTATAATCATTCATTGAATATTTAAAATTGAGTCCATTGTCCTTGTTCATATAGATGACATACAGGTCACATTTTTGTACAGTTTCATCTAATACATATAATCGAATTAAATGCAATTGATCTAATTCTCTCTTATATATAGGATGCATCTATATATAGATTTAGAACACAGTGGCGTCACCAGGATTTTCGAAGTGTGGGTTCGAAACTTCCGAAATTTGAAATCATAATTAACAAAGGAATAAAAATACAATAATTAAATATTCAGTACATAAATAATTTCAAACTATGGATTACAAATAGATTACACATAGAAAAATGAAAAAAAAAAAAAAAAAAAAAAAGCTATAACCGATAAAATCTGATCAAGCTAATACAATGGCAGAGAAGCAACACATTAAATAAATTACAAGTTAACATTAAAAAAAAAGCTACAATATTCTAATTAGCAAGTAAGCATTACATTGCACATATACTATTTAAACTGAATAAGCTACATACTATCATTGTTATAGAGTTAAAATATGGATTCAACTAGTCAAAGAGGCCAACAATCAGCACATATTAACTTAATGACGGAAAAATAATGATAATGGCCATGATATTTCATTGTATCCTTTCACGCATCGCTAGAGCTTAAGGACTTAACCCAATACATGGATCAACATCCCACCTTACATTTATTTCTCATTTGATAAGTTGCCAAACTAACCAAATAGGGATATTAAGTTCAAGTAGCTAAATATTATCGTTTCACTATCGAAGCTTTTCTCATTCTGATTGCTCACTTAGATTATTGTAGCAGATTACTGTCGTTAGCTATGGCTTGACAGAATTCTTATGTGCCGACAATAAAAATGTTCAATTCAATGTAGCTTAGTTAGAGTTAAATTGTGTAGTAGATTCATGTCACAGGATTAATTTCAATTTTTTATATATAATTAATCAGCAATACAAAACCATCACTGAACTCAAAATTATACAAATAAAATTATCAAAGAGTGTTCGCCAAACATCACTTAACTCAAAATCATGCTTCAAACACAGAATAATTAAAGGCCAAATTTTCACGATTGAATTAAAAATTAGCATATATTAAACATAACAATGTAAATAAATTATCTCTAAGATCTATAATATTCATCAATCAAACCCATATCAACGAAATAGCAAATGAAATTATGAAAACTAGAAGGCAGAAACGAAATACAGAAAATAGCATATGAATTGGCAGAAACGAAAGGCAGAAAATAGCATAGCATATGAAAATAGCATACGAAATACAAAAAAATCCCCAAATTGAGAACTTGAGAAGTAAATTAGATAATTATATCCAAACTTCAGCAATTTACAAAACATTGGCAATTCGTAAATCGTAATGTATATTAGCAATTGAATTTAGCATATGAATTTCAATTTTCAAGTATTCAATGATTTAGCAAAAAAAATCCCCAAATTGAGAAGTAAATTACATTTGCAAAAAAAAAAAATCCCCAAATTCACTTACCCCTACATACACCGATACACCATACACGGCTGTGAGGCTGGGTCTGGGTGAGTGGCTGGTGCGCTGCCGGCCTGCCGCTGCCGCCGTGTTCTGCTGACTCTGCTGCCGTGCTGCGCCGGGAAGAGAAGGAGGAAGAACGGGAAGAGATTAAGAGAAGGAGGATTGGAGGAAGAAGTTAGGGTTTTGCAATTTGGGGGAATGAGGAAGAGGAAAGCGAACTCTGGAAGCAGGAAAGCTCAGTGCTCAGGAAACAAAATTAAAAAAAAAAAAGTGTGAGTTATGGGTTTTGAACCCACAAACTCTTGTGTGATGGGAGGTAAAAATAACCACTGGGCTACAACTTTACTTGTTGCCATATAATACACAAATATTCTATTTAAACCTATTTTGATTTTTTTTTTTTTTTAAAAAAAAAAATTTTAAATTTTTTTTCAAAAAATCAGTGGGTTCAATGAACCCACTTGAACCCACCCTAGTTCCGCCCCTGTTAGAACATATATAAACATAATTGAATTATTAGGCAAAATGCACTCTAGGATAAGACCAATAATATGGTCTATCTTATTATATTAATTTCATATCAATTAAGCATTAAGGTGTCTTATATAGTGCCATTATTAAATGAAGAATAAACTAAACTAAGTAACTTCTAAGCAACCTAGCTATAGTTGAAATTATATTCAATGTTAGTATACAAGTTCTAGTTAACATTGACAATTAAGAAAATCATTAATTAATTACTTAACCAAAGAGGGAAATAACAATCTAACACTACTAAGCTACATTGTTCATGTACCTCCAAAAAACTCACAATTTAGATATGTAAACAATATTACTTGTCAAATTGGTTGCCTCACTAATTTAAACTTTCTACAAAGAGTTTTTTTTTTTTTTTTTGTAATCATCAATATTGTTCCAATTAGAAAAATTCATACAATGTAATGTACCATTTAAGAAATATGTATAATCTCTTCTGTCTTTAATTATAAAAACGCCTCAACTCATTTCATGATCTACGAGTATGTAGTATAGTGAGAGGGTAACATTGTTATATCATTACGGGCCGGGAATAGAGGGAGGGAATAATAATGATTGTGGTTAGGGAAAACAAGTATTCAACTGCGTTACTGAAATTGAGGATACATTTGGATTGCCATAAAACAAAGAAAAATAGTATGTTTGGAGGATCGAAAACTGCAGCTACCATTAGTAATATTTGTCTGGTATTGTGGTGTTAAAGGTTGGTTAGCCAATTTTTCTGTGCTACGTGAATTTAGCAGGTAATAAGGAATTGGTCGGTTTCTCCTTTATTTTTATTTTGTTTATTTTTCTTTTTTTTTTCTTTATTAGGATGATTTATGAATTTATTTTCTAAATTAATTTTGCTAGAAAAAGAGTTAACTTTACCTTAATATAATTTCTAAATCACCATTTTTTATGTATGTTGGCTTACCAATCCCCCACATGCTTCATCAATGGATAAGTTTGTAGGGACATTATGTGTCATTTTGACTTCTAATTGAAAATTTTCTTCCCTCATTTTTCTTAGTCTTGAGTATTCACTAAGGTAAGTAGTTACCTTGAATTTATAAAAATAATCCATCATAATTTTGTAATACTAATATAGTTGATTTTGAAAATTTATAAAGATTTGATAGATTTGGGACCATTAAGCATGAAAAATACTTATTCTACCTATTGAGTCTATTACTCATTGAATGTGGCAAAAACACACAAATTAGGATGCATTTTGATCACATTAAAAACCCATAATCCAAGCTAATCAGTTTTAATCAAGATTGATCAGTTTCAATCATGTGTAAATATAAGAGCTAATCAAGTCTAACAAATGAAGATTAGGTAAAAAGAACGCACAATTACTTAAACAAAAATACGAAAGCTAAAAATAAATGTTGTTAAACTCAATACCATACAAATGATTTTAAATTCTTTTTTCTCAAGGAAATAATACGCATGTAATTTATAAATTATTTGCTAATTAAATAGTTCTAATCGGGTTTTTTATCGATTAGTTTTATACTTATAATATGGTTTTATGATTGTATGATTTGCATACATGTTGCTTTTTTCCATGTGCTACTTTTTAATGTTTTCAAGAAGAGGTGGATCGATGATCCATATGTTTATGGAATCGAAGTACCATGTTAGCGTATTTATGCATTCAAGTTAAGATAATTTGTATATAGATTTTCCGCAAAGTAGCTAAGAAAGAGATTGAAAACAAAACATGTAATCATATGATTAACTTGGAAGCATACTCGATCTAGAGTTTATATTAAGATTCTCTTGAATATATTAAGAAATAGTATGTACATACAAAACTCCTTGTCTAAATTAGTTATCCAACATCAATTTTAATATGTGCTTTAGAGTTATCTTCTTACACATTAGTCTCATATATATACAATCTTCATAAACCTTGACTATAACTTTATTCTTTTGTGGAGTTGAACGTCTCGGTGTCTTGACCCTTGGTGGTAAAGAAAATACAATCTCCGTAATTCTAATAGTAATATATTTATAATATGAGTGGCGGTTTATTATTCTCGATTTTCTCAGCATCATTATTTTATACATCTATATTAGTGAAGGAGAAGTATGTAGGTGATGTTTGAAGATCATTTCATCTCATTTTTCTTTCACTATAAAATTGTTTTTATGCGAGTCCAGTTTTTTTTGTAAAAAAAATGAAAAGAGTATGATTTACTATTTTAAAGGATGGAAGTATAAAAGTATCACATTAACATGCTTATGATAGTTTCTCTATTGAATTATGTTAGTTAATTAAGTTGTACTAAAAAAAACATGTTTTCTTACTCCAAGGTTGTGAATTTACAAGCCGAGCTCTCATACTTGCAAGCACATCTGGCACACCTAGAAGTACCAACACCACCACCTCCGCCGCCACAACCACTAATGCCGCCACCACAACTATCAATCGCCGACCTTCCATCAGCATCCACCGTGCCCGCCACCTATGACCTATCCTCACTATTTGACCCAATGGTCCAACCATTATGGGCCATGCAGCAACAACAACAACAGCTACAACAGCGAGGCCCAATGGACCAACGCTCATATGGATCAGGTGAAAGAGGCCCAAACATTGGGCCTTCATCTAACGTTGGAGGAGGTGATCTACAAGCAGTGGCACGTGAGTTCCTTCATAGACATGGATCACCAAATTATGGGCACATGCATGATCCATCACCTTCATCATCCATGTCTAAATGAGATAATTTGACCCCAATTTAACATCAAGTACTTGACCCGAAACCGTTTTAAAATGGTTCAGATTAGGGAATTTGGGTTTATATCAGTACAATTTGGATAACTGATTTGCCCTTTGTCGTAATTATTATTGTTACTATTAATTTTATTTTTTCTATTTATCTTTTATCTTGCCTTAATTGGAATTTTATGTTATATAAACTCTAGAAAAAAATTTAAATTTTCTTTAATTACATATAGGTTTAATAGAAAATTCAGTACTTTTTATGTTGTCTCCAATTTGTTTTAAAATTTTACTTTGCCTTATTAGTTTCATGCTTGAAAAGGGTTAATTCTTAACAAAATTTACTGACTGTTGGAAAAATGAATCCTTGCTACTTTCATCTTTAGCTCTAATAAAATTAAACAATGATCAAAATAGAAGGCCAATGTGCAAAAGAGGGATAATTAACTAATTATGAATTTGAAAAACTACAAAACCCTAAAGTTTATGGTGGGGTGATCAGGCCACCATCGTTAAAAGTGTTTATGAAATCTATCTATATATGACATCTTTCGTATGCGTGGATGTTCAATTTAAACGTTAATAATTTGAATATGTTTTATTCAATGTTGAAAGTTGTTATCGATTTACCATGTATTCTAATATTTTATTTTATTTTTTTGGATTTGTATTTGAATTTATTTATAAGAATTCAAAATTTGTTGCAAAGTAATCACATGTTTGAGCTTCATATATGTGTGATGGTTTGTATGCAATATTGTATTAGATACACTAATACATATGTATCTATAACTATATTTTCTTTGAATAATATTATGTTTAAAAAGTACCTTCACCAAAATATCAAACAAAATTAATAAATATTTAACAAAATAAATATGTAATTATGATATTTATTTATCATAAAAGAACGCCAGGTAATGCATATTGTTTTGACTTTGACCCAACCCCGGCAACTTGTCCAAATTCATTAAATATTACACCATATCTAAATTCGAGTTTGCTTCGATCCAATATTTGATTAACAAAATATGTCCAGGTCTCAAATTATCTTTAGGCTAAGGCAATTTGAGCTATACTCGTATAATATACTTCATATATTGTACCTTCATGTACACCTTTGCCATAGCCAGAACTATGACACAGATACCCTGTTGTCACAAGTTCATGCTCTAATAATATACTAACGCACTTATATCCACACTATGTATTGGTATGTTTCAGCAACCAAAATGTAGCTTCAATATGCAATAGCACCATCACATTTCTCCTTAGTGGATTCACTTACAAATTAATATTATCCTCAATTCATGCATTCTACTCGTTATCTCTCTACTGCATACATAATCAAACCATTTTTTTTTTTTTGGCTAAAGCTAGTTTAAAATTTGTTGTATGTTTCCGTGGGTTGTTCGGGGGTGTGATAGTTGGGCTGACACGAGAATGGATGATTGCTAGAAACATAGGTAATGCGGGGTTGATGTATGTGGCCATTGGGTGAGCTTCGATAGTATTGGTTGTGACAACTGATAAGTGAAAAAGTGAGAAAAGGACAATACTCCCTATCATCTTAGTGGTGTTGATAGATTGTAGTTAACTTTGGATTAATTTTTTAAATATAGGTTTATTAATTTTGCTAAATTTATCAAACAAAACCTTTGATATATCAACTACACACATTAGTACATTACTAGTTGTTAAATTATCTCAATCAAAATTAAAAATAGTAGATAATGTAATTGGTTGCAAAACTTCATGTTTCCAACCTATTAGTCAAACTTCCCAAGCTATCATTTATCCAATGCCAACAAAGATGCATGATTTTCACAATTTTAAAAGTTTTTCTTGATTCATCATTTCATTTGTTTCTTTAAAAAAATCTCCAATTCCATGTGGAAGAGAGAGAATTAATCCCCAAATTTGATTATATATATAAAAAAACCCTCTAAATTTTTAATTATTTTGAGATGTAACTTTAATTATTTTCCTTTGAGTGATTCACAAACAAAACAAATTCATCCAAAAAAATAAATTTAGAAATAAAAATAAATTCATCCAAAAAATTGGGTATGACTTTTAACTGAGCCACTTCCTCACTCACTAATAAGCACAAACAAAATTTCAAACAAAATCCTTCAAATTTCTCGATCTAAAAATTCCCCAAAAATTTCCCAATTTCTCTCTCCTCCGATCACCAATTTCCCGATCAATTGCCGGAAAATCGAACCCTAATTCCCAAATTCTACCTCTATTTTCACCCAGATCTCGACGATTAATCGGGAATGGCTTCTTCGGAAGCCGATTCCCGGCTGAAACAAGTGCTGGTGCCTTCTCTCGAGAAGATCATCAAAAATGGTTCATGGCGGAAGAATTCGAAGCTTGTTCACGAGTGCAAATCTTTCCTCGAGAAGCTCAATTCCTCTCAACTTCATTCTCTCTCCTCTTCTCCTGAATCGCCATCTTCCGCCATTGTTACATCTGGTCCGGTTGTCGATAGTGGGACCCACGAGTATTCTCTAGAAGATTCCGAGCTCATTATCTCTCCTTTCATCAACGCTGCTTCGTCTTCGAACCCTAAGATCGCAGATGCTGGAATCTCTTGTTTACAGAAGCTAATCTCACATGGGTATCTTCGAGGTGAGGCAGATTCAACTGGGTCGAATCCCGAGTCGAAGTTGCTTTCCCGAGTTATTGACTCGGTATGTAAGTGTATTGAGGTTAATAGTAATGATGAGAATATGGAACTTGTTGTGTTGAAAACTTTGCTTTCTGCTGTTACTTCGACTAGTCTTAGGATTCATGGGGATTGTTTGTTGCAAATTGTTAGGACTTGTTATGATATTTATTTAGGGAGTAAGAATGTGGTGAATCAGACGACATCGAAAGCGTCGTTGATTCAGATGCTTGTGATCGTTTTTAGGAGAATGGAGGCTGATTCGTCGTCGGTTCCTGTTCAGCCGATTGTAGTTGCTGAGCTCATGGAACCGGCTGAGAAATCGGATGCCGATCCTGGGGTTACTCAGCAGGTTCAGGGGTTTGTTACTAGGATAATTCAGGACATTGATGGGGTTTTGCATACAGTGAATGTAGGTGGTGATAAGGGTTGTGGTGGAAATGGTGGGGCGGTTCACGATGGAGCATTTGAGACGAAGGTGAATGCCACGGTGGAGGGAACGAATCCTGCTGATCTGTTGGACTCTACGGACAAGGATATGTTGGATGCTAAGTATTGGGAGATTAGTATGTATAAGACCGCGTTGGAAGGAAGGAAAGGGGAGTTAGCGGATGGGGAGACCGTGGAAGGGGCTGCTGGGATCTTGGAGAGGGATGATGATCTGGAAGTTCAGATTGGAAATAAATTGAGGAGGGATGCATTTTTGGTGTTTCGAGCTCTATGTAAGCTGTCAATGAAGACGCCTCCCAAAGAGGCAATGTCGGACCCTCAGCTTATGAGGGGTAAAATTGTTGCTCTAGAGTTGCTTAAGATTTTGCTGGAGAATGCTGGCACAGTTTTTAGGACCAGTGACAGGTAACATTCTCAATTTGGTTCCTACTCCAATTTGATTGAAATGCTATTCATTGCACTTAAAAAAGAAAATAGAATGATGCTTAATGCCCTGAAGCTTATGACTCGGTGATGAGTAGATGCAACTATTACACACGCATTGTGCAATTTGTGCTATAGAACTGTTCTTTAGTTGAAACGTAGATACATTTTTTTCATGTTCATAGTGGATTTATTATAACAGTCATTGGATTTTGGGGTGGCTGAATTGCATGCTGTCTCACCTGAAATTTGGGAAGGCAATGTATTCAATGCCAAAGGGATTATAGATTTGGTATATCCTTGTATACTGCTAACACCATTGCTGAAGGTCGTATAGATTTGATAGATGATCTTGAGCATACCCATGTCAACTCATTTAAGAACAAAAACTCACATATATAGGCGACATTTCATTGTGCAGGACTTGTAAGCTGAAACTTTCTCTTGATTTGATAACCATATAGGCAACTCCTTAGATTATTTATTTCCTTTTAGCTCCTTTCTTTAAGTCCAGGACCTGAGACCTAGATGATGTATGGTTTTGGAATAATTGCTGGTTGGCGGCGGAGCGAATTTTTTATTTTACTTTTTATTTATTTACTGTGTTCTTTTGAATATCTGTTATTTAAGAGTTGTTCAGGCTGGAATATAATGGTTCATGGTCAATAGGAGCTCCTCTATAGGACTAGTGGTGATTTCATGTATTAATTTCTTGAATATCCCAAGTGCGGCTTGGTTCCTTTCAGTCTAAAGAATTAAGGTTTTGGAAAAACAAGTTCTAATAAAGTTAGTTCAGTACTTCAGTATAAGGTTTATATACTTAAGGTAAGGTTTACCAAGTCCAATTCACAACTACACCGTAAAGGGGTTTCAGGTGAAAAAAACGCAACCTAGGAAGGCTGCTTTGACAGTTTAGTGGTTAGCTTTGAAGTTAATGGGCTACTGATTTTTGAGGATATAGTTTGTGCTATCAGATGTTAAAGTGTTTTTTTATTTTTTATTTTTAGCAGAGTTATTATTGTATAATGGAGCTAAGCCATCTACCTAGTGTCCTAGTATATAAGCAGTTTTGGTTCTATAGGGTTGAATCCTGTGTGCAGTGTGCTTCCATGTGAATGTTTTAGTGTTGCTGTTCCTATCATGACACCATCATAGGCAGGTTAAGAAACTCCATGAAGATTTCTCTATTCCCACATGGCTTGGTACTATTTTGGGCTTTTGGCCTGCCATTTGCTCTCTGTCATTGGTCCACCTCTTTTCATGAATTGAAGAAAGAAGGTCTTCTTACTTTTTCAAAAGCTCTGCCATACTTTAAAAATTTGATTGAAATAATTAAGAATTGCAAAGACCCTAAGGGATCGATAGTGTCTCTGCATAGTCCTACCGACAAGAATGACAATGACAGAGTAAACGTCACCAATCCATTGGCTAGTTGATGTATAGGAGGGTGTTTTAAAAAGAGTATGGTGGGGGGAATGAAATAGGTGAGACTGAATATACAGATCTCCATTATGCTGATTCTCATAGATTCAGCCAATGAAGGTACTTGGTTTAAGGTTTATAGTAGAGTACTATAGTAGGGTATCATTCGACCCCAAATAGTAGATTTGACTAATGAATAATTTGTGGTGGTGTATGTTTTACGGTTGAATGGGCTTAAATCACATTTTTTCCGATCCTATGTGCTATTAAGAGTAGCATATTGAGGAGTAGAATTGCTTTACTTAAATAAAATATTGAAATCTAATTTATTACAAACAAGCAGTACATCTATCAACACAACAAATTTTTGTTTTTGTCTGTACGTATGTTTTTATTCTATATTTTAAATGTTATAAAAAACTGCCAATAGAGAACTGTTAGTTTACCAAACAATTTTGCAAAACATGGTATCTATGACTGTGATTTCTACTGCTCATCAAATCAATTATCTCTTTCTCTCTGCAACGTGTGTTATTAAATATGCTCCGGGCAACTTGCTATCCGCTGTTTGCCAAATAGGGCCCGTAACAGGATCATAAATGATTGTAGTTTTTTGGTGTAAAACCGAAATGCCTAGTTAATCCTTTGAATATTGATTGTATTTTGTACTACTGTGTTAAACAGAATGTACATGTACTTGTGTTCATTTACTAAGTCTAAGCTAAAACATTAAACATGTATTTTCTTACATCCTTCTGCAATGATTCTTATATAAACTACAATCTACTAATTGCTAAATAGGGCCTAACTCTTGGCAAGAACATCATCTATTTCGAGCACGTTTTCTTACTTCAAAGTTTACACACCTAAAGGATTAGAGAAAGGCATTACTTCAAAGCTACATCTTTTACTTATTCTTCCCCGAATTTTGATATGATAGTTGGTAACACCAGTGAATTGCCACTTGTATTTTTTGGGTTGGCTGTTTCAAGTGTCTGAAGGCTTTGTTTTATTTTCCTTTTTATATTGCAAATATTAAGCTCTTATCCTTTGTGCTATAACTATACATCAAAAATGTTGTTTTAGTAGTTTCAAGTTTTACATTTTTTTTTTAAATAAGTTAGTTTCTGAGCACTAAATCCGACAAGCATTTTAACTTACATAATATTTATTTCAAACTTTGGAAGTTTGCAGAGTTAGTTTCTTAACACTTTGTTTGGATTGAAGGAAATGGAAGGGAAGGGAAATGGAGGGATAAATTATCTTTCATTTAGGTAACAAATGAGGAAGGAAGGGAATTGGAGGGGAGAGAAATTGAGGGTTTAAATTTTTAAAAATTGATCTCTCCAACAATGGAGAGATTTGGAAGGAAAACTCACCTTTCTTTCCTCCCCTCCCTTTCTCTTCTACTCCCCCCCCCTTCTTTTCTTTCCCATTTCTTTATCCAAACAAACCGTGAATGCTTTTACCTGTCTGCTGTCCTCAGTCCTTACCATGATTCAGTGACCACTGACCAGTGGTTTTGCAATTTTCCTCATTGGTAATGCTCACAGTTTTCGTTTTAAACTATGATGGTATGAATCTTCTGAAATATCACATGCATCATTTCTGTTTAAGTGGAAATAAATGTTGGACTAAAACAGTTAACTCTCTTCGTTTTGAGAGTTTGAGCAATCACTTCTTGGTGTACATTGCAAATTTGCCATATTTCACCAAGGGTATTGTTACTTGTGCATTGTGGGGGTTTGGATTGCTGCATAGTCATCAGGATCTGTGTTTGGAGCTGCGGTTACTGTAAAATCTTTCATTCTTCTTCCAGGTTTTGCAAATTTATTCTTTTGCAAGTTTCTTGCTCTAAAACTGTTACCTATGTGAACGTCTTTTCCTATATTCTATTTCATTGTTTTTAAATCCTCTCCACATTTTAGGCCTAGGTCAAATTTACTACTTGGTGATCATCTACCTGTGTCTCATTGATGTTTGCTCTCTTATATTTTCTGAAGCTTATATTCTTCTAATGTATGGTGTTTTACTTTACTCATATATGTTATATCTCTTTTCATATTTGTTAATTTTGTTTTTTTTTGACGCAGATTTTTGGGTGCTATCAAGCAATATCTGTGTTTATCATTGCTTAAGAACAGCGCTTCAACTCTCATGATTGTTTTCCAGCTTTCATGCTCCATCTTCATGAGTTTGGTAGCCAGGTTTAGAGCTGGGCTGAAGGCTGAGATTGGAGTATTTTTCCCTATGATAGTTCTAAGAGTTTTAGAAAATGTTACTCAGCCAAATTTTCAGCAAAAGATGATAGTACTGCGTTTTCTAGAAAAACTGTGCGAAGATTCTCAGATCTTGGTGGACATATTCATCAACTATGATTGCGATGTCAACTCATCTAATATATTTGAGAGGTACACCTTTGTTCCTTTATTTTCTTCTCATTTGTAATCTTGACACTATTCATAAAATGATAGAATCTTCACAATTACTCTTTATATATACAACATAACATAGTCAAGTTGTATCTTATATGATTTGTCTTAATGAGTAGTTTACTACTCCCTCCGTTCCTAAATATTTTTTACGTTTCCATTTAGGGTGTTCCTTTTTATTCTTTACATTTAGTATCTTTCCTATTTTAGTCAAAAATTTTGGACAAAATTACCCTTGTTTTACAATTTTTATACTCAAAAGTCCTTACTTTTTCATGTGCTATTGTACTTTTTGTACTATTTTAATAGTTTTTCAACACTTATTATTACTTTCTCTCTCCTCTAATTTCTTCACCCCACATGCTCAACATTGTATTTTTCAATAAAATTGTACTTTCAATCATTGAAATATTCCAGCATACCTCAACTTTACATAATTTCTTAATAACTGCGCATAATTCCAAACGTAAAAAACATTAGGAAACGGAGGGAGTAATATTCAATTCTTACATTTTTTTTTCTAATGTGCAACTAATGATATTTATGGTCAGAGTCGTGCATTGGCAAACGCACATAATCAAAATGGGAAGGACTTTTGGGAATGGAGGGAGTATGTAGTTGTAGAAAAATCCTTTGGATATTATCATTCTGGGAAAATCTCCTCCCTTCTTGAATTTGATACTGATCCATAGAGAAAAGTGTCTTGATTATATTGCTGTTAAGAGGCAATCTAGTAATTTATTGCCTTATTGTTGCAGAATGGTCAATGGCCTTCTTAAAACAGCTCAAGGCGTCCCACCTGGCTCATCCACTACATTGTTGCCACCACAAGAAGAGACACTGAAATTTGAAGCGATGAAGTGCTTGGTTGCTGTCTTAAAATCAATGGGGAACTGGATGAACCATCAATTACGCATCCCAGATCCTCATTCAGCAAAAAAATACGAACCAGCAGATAGCAGTCCTGAAGCTGGTAGTCCTCACATGGTAAATGGCCATGGGGATGAGCCTCTTGAAGGATCTGATAGTCTTTCTGAGTCTTCAAATGATGTTTCTGATGTGCAGACAATTGAGCAGCGCCGAGCATACAAGCTGGAACTTCAGGTATACTATGAGAAATTGCCATGCACACTGTATTTGCCGGATGAACTATGGAACTCTGCATTTTCTCTTTAATAAACGATTTGACTAAAACACCAATCATATGACTATAAGGACTGTATTTTTTGTTAAAATTCATCTTGTATTACCATTTCTATTTCACCTATTTGTGATGAAAACTTTTCCTTAAAGTACTGCATCTAAAGTTAAGCCTTTATTTTCCTTGCAATGCTTTTGTTTATGCATTTAGGTGTTTATGCTAATGTATAATGTATGGCAGGAAGGTATATCTCTTTTTAATAGGAAACCGAAAAAGGGAATTGAGTTCCTTATTAGTGCTAATAAGGTGGGCAATTCTCCGGAGGAAATAGCAGCATTTCTGAAAGATGCTTCTGATCTGAACAAGACTTTAATTGGTGATTATCTTGGCGAAAGAGAAGATATGTCATTGAAAGTGATGCATGCATATGTCGATTCCTTTGATTTCCATGGCAAGGCGCTTGATGAGTCAATAAGGGTCTTCTTGCAAGGCTTCAGGTTGCCTGGTGAGGCCCAGAAGATTGATCGGATCATGGAGAAGTTTGCTGAACGTTACTGTAAATGTAATCCTAAGGCATTCTCGAGTGCAGACACAGCATATGTCCTTGCTTATTCAGTTATAATGCTCAACACTGATGCCCACAATCCTATGGTTAAGAATAAGGTATAATATGTGAACTTCTTTTCCATTTGAAACTCATCTGATGTTTGAAGTTAGCTTCCACTTAGTCCTCTTTTCATTGTATTTCTAATTATGCAGATGTCTGCTGAAGATTTCATCAGGAACAATCGTGGTATTGATGATGGAAAAGATCTTCCTGAGGATTACATGAGATCCTTGTATGAACGAATAACCAAAAATGAGATTAAGTTGAAAGAAGAAGATCTAGCTTCTTTGCAAAAGCAGTCTTTAAATTCCAACAGAATCCTAGGCTTGGACAATATCTTGAATATTGTGATCCGTAAGCGAGATGAAAATTACATGGAGTCTAGTGATGACTTAATAAGGCATATGCAAGAACAATTTAAAGAAAAAGCTCGCAAGTCCGAGTAAGTGTCTCGTTCTTGCTTTATATATATTGCTCCCTCATTATATATTTTGCTTCAAGGTTTGAGATAATCAAGTTGATACTCGAGTCCAATCATCATTGCCTCTGTAATAACGCCTTTCTTGTTGAGGTCTTAGTTCATGAGATTTGATGTAAATAGTGTTGGTGACAGTTTGAGATACACTCTTTCTTGAAAGTTCTTTTTGAGCTTATTTACCTTATCCACATTCTGCAGCACTACCGTTGTTGTAGGCTAAAATTGTCTTCAAGAGGGGAATTATCTTATGGCAACTTTTAAAATGGCTTAGACTCTTGCTAGTAATTAGAATATTTCCGATTCCCATGTGCTTTGATGATTTAGAATTTTAGCAAGCTGTTGCTCAAAGAAGGGAAAAGGGAAAAAATAATGGTATTGAATGTGAACTTATTTTCTTTCACAAACCAAAGAAGGGGAGCCCATGTTTCATAGTTCATGTTGTTGAATGGTATGCAACCTATTCTCTGTTGTGTCTTGTGTGGATAAACAATGTGATAATTTGTTCTTAATTTTTTATTTTTATTTTAATTATAGCTGCCTACTTGTTTTTCTCTGTCTGGGGTCTCTGGGCCTTCTTTAATCATTTTTAATGATACACTTGGCTTAGGATTTCTTGTTCATTGTATCAGTATCTGTTATTGGTAGGCTCTTGACAAAAGTAAAGTTTGTTATGTATGTAAGGTTGTTGATTGGTTTTAGTTATTTACATTATTTAGCCATTTGCAGGTCAGCTTATTACGCTGCAACAGATGTCGTAATCCTCAGATTCATGATTGAAGCTTGCTGGGCTCCTATGCTAGCTGCTTTCAGTGTTCCACTTGATCAAAGTGATGATGAAGAAATTATAACATTGTGCCTTGACGGTTTCCGCTATGCTATCCACGTTACATCAGTGATGTCCATGAAAACTCATAGGGATGCTTTTGTGACGTCACTTGCCAAGTTTACTTCTCTACACTCTCCGGCTGAAATCAAACAGAAAAATATTTATGCTATCAAGGTTAGTTACTTTCTTAGGTTCCCGTGTGGCCGTGTCAATCACTTGAAAAAATTTAGCATTCTTTTTGTGTAAAAAATAATTATATAATTATTTACAAAACAACCAAACCATACAATTACTGACATATACATACTTGCATCACTGACTAGATACTGTGACGTTTCAATTATTGAGTGAATGAGCTTTGGATTGAATACCATATTTCTAATTAATAACTGTTGTGAAGTATTAGGTGTTTTGATCACATTTCTTGTTTAGGATCTAATTGAAACAGCTTCTCTGCTGACTGCAATTGATGTATGACTGCTTATGTAAGACTCCTTTATCATTTTGGAGATTGGAGGGCCTTGTTATATGAATCAAAGTATGCAGACTATTGACCAGTATTATACCGCATGCTATATAAAGAATTTTTTCCTCGATTGGATTTTCCCTTTTACCATCCTCATTTATATACACTATATGTTTTTGTATGTCTGTATAGTATTATTCTTCAAACTAGCTCGAATAATCCTTGACTCCTTATCTGCCACAAGGGGGAACTATGGTTAATTTTCCTCATATTTGTGAATACTCTCTTTGTTGTTCTTGCTCACAATCATTGAGAAAGAATAAAATGAGGTGCCCAGCTAATAGTTGCTTCTAATTGGTTTCCCGCTACTGTTTATTTTAGCTCCTATTGGTAGTGTGACTGTAAGAGGTTAAAAGGAAATAGATTTTTTACTTTTCTTTGTATTTTAATGCATATTTTGCCCTAAATTTTCCCTTGGGAGGAGATTTTGGTTTCTCACAGATAATGTGCTTCCTTTCTGCTTCACAGGCAATAGTTACAATTGCAGATGAAGATGGCAATTACTTGCAAGATGCCTGGGAGCATATTTTGACATGTGTTTCCCGTTTTGAGCATTTGCATCTGCTTGGTGAAGGTGCGCCCCCTGATGCAGCTTTCTTTGGTGCTCCTCAAACTGATCAAGATAAGTCAAAACAGGCCAAGTCCAATATTCTTCCACTTCTAAAGAAAAAAGGTGCTGGAAAAATTCAATATGCTGCAGCCGCTGTGAGAAGAGGCTCTTATGACAGTGCTAGTATTGGTGGAAACACTTCTGTTACATCAGAACAGATGAATAATTTAGTCTCTAATTTGAACATGCTTGAACAAGTTGGAAGCAGTGAAATGAATCGTATATTCACTCGAAGTCAAAAGCTAAATAGTGAAGGAATAATTGAATTTGTCAAGGCACTCTGCAAGGTCTCAATGGAGGAATTACGATCTGCCTCTGATCCACGAGTCTTTAGCTTGACAAAAATTGTTGAGATTGCGTAAGCGTCCCGTGACATTGCTATCATAATTCCTTTTGATCTTTATGATGTCTAATACTTTAATTTGTTCTGAATCTTGAAAACAGGCACTACAACATGAACCGCATTAGGCTTGTATGGTCAAGCATTTGGAATGTGCTTTCTGACTTCTTTGTAACCATTGGATGTTCTGAAAATCTTTCAATTGCAATTTTTGCTATGGATTCTTTGCGCCAATTATCAATGAAGTTTTTGGATCGGGAAGAATTAGCTAATTATAATTTTCAAAATGAGTTTATGAAGCCCTTTGTCATTGTGATGCGGAGGAGTAGTGCTGTTGAGATTAGAGAATTAATCATCAGATGTGTGTCTCAGATGGTGCTATCTCGAGTAAACAATGTGAAGTCTGGATGGAAGAGCATGTTCATGGTATCTGCTTCATCTATTATATTTGCTCATATTGTCTACTCTTTTTACTCTTTCAGCAATATGACTAATGATGACCCATGTTCTGGAGATTCAGTCTGCTGTGGATCATCACTTCCTATACTGCCTCATTTGTATATCTCTGCCCAGTTCTTCGGGTTGCTCTACCTAAATTAACAAGAATTGGGAGCTTTTTTAATTCATAGTGATAAAAACAGCATCCTGCATTGCCCAAATATCATTGTCGCTTCATGTTTAATCTTGGAATTTCTCTCTTTGACTACACATGTGTGGCAGAACTGAGAATTGATCAGAAGTTGAGCGTGTAAAAGTATTTAAACATTGTTGGTGGTCACAGATCTTTCCTTCCATGGCTTGCTTTTCCTTTTCAACCATTTATTTTTATCTAGGGATTTATGATGGCTGAAAGGCTCCCAATACATTTTCTTGATTAAATAACAACTATTTTTTTTAATCCAAAACAAGTATACAACAATCTTCCCATCAATTGTTTCCCAGTATCTTTTGTTTAGTATTGTGATATCCCCTAGCTTAAATGAAATGGATTAATTTTTTTAATTTGGTGATGCGAAAAAGAATTATTATTTGGTGAAAAGAATCACAGTAGTTGATAGGGAAATCCTGTTGCTTATGGTTTGATTAATCTGATACGTCACTCCCATGCCCTACCCCCAGAGAGAAGTTACAGACAGTCCTGCTTCTTAAGATTTGGATATTCTGTTATTGTTTCGGAAAATTGTTGTGTGATTTATTGACCTATTTGTCATTTTTATGTGTAGGTTTTTACCACAGCAGCATATGATGATCACAAAAACATTGTTCTGTTAGCATTTGAGATTATGGAGAAGATTGTTCGAGACTACTTCCCGTACATTACTGAGACAGAGTCCAGTACTTTTACAGATTGTGTAAATTGCCTTGTTGCCTTTACTAATAGCAGATTTAACAAGGATATCAGTCTCAGTGCCATTGGCTTCCTGCGCTACTGTGCAGAGAAGCTTGCTGAGGGAGATCTTGGCTCTTCAGGCAAAGATAAGGATAAGGAAGCTTTGGATGTCTCTCCATCCGTATTGCAAACAGTGAAAGATGGAAAGATGGAAAATGGAGAGTTGGGTGACAAGGTTGACCATCTGTATTTCTGGTTCCCATTGTTGGCTGGTAAGATACATGTTTACAGCTTAGCATATAGAGTTGTATTATTATGTTTGTTTAACACCTATTTCATGTGTATTGTAAAGTTTGAAACATTATAACTGAAAAAATGAATCTGTGAGCAATTTTACAACTGACCATTGAGTTCATTGATTTTTATACTTAAGATGTCCCTCTACCTATATTCTCAATTATATATAGAGTTGTTTCTAAAAAAACATAAAATAAAATTATATATAGAGTTGGATTTTGTCTAATTAAACTTATGTTTCATTTTGTCCGTGGGGTATTCTGTATTACATGCTGCAGTTCTTAGTGATAATAATGGTGGAGTATGTTTAGGAAGTTGATTATTCCATTCTCCTATGTAGGCCTATCAGAACTCAGTTTTGATCCAAGACCAGAAATCAGAAAAAGTGCGTTGCAGATTTTGTTCGACACTCTACGTAACCATGGCCAACATTTTTCGCTTCCTTTGTGGGAGCGAGTGTTCGAATCGGTCTTGTTTCGTATATTCGATTATGTTCGTCAAGCCATTGACCCATCCACAGAAAACTCATTTGGAGAGGGCGGTGATGGCGAGATAGCTGAATTTGATCAAGATTCATGGCTGTATGAGACTTGTACATTGTCTCTTGAACTAATTGTGGACCTTTTTGTCAAGTTCTACTCTACTGTTCATCCCCTTTTAAAGAAAGTTCTGATGCTGTTAGTGAGCTTCATTAAGCGACCTCACCAGAGCCTTGCTGGCATTGGTATTGCTGCATACGTTCGATTGATAAGCAATTCTGGAGATCTCTTCTCTGATGACAAATGGCTTGAAGTGGTCTCTTCATTGAAAGAAGCAGCCTTATCCACCCTTCCTGAATTTTCTTTTATCTTGAACGGGGATAGTTCGGTTAGGAATATCGAAGAATCTGGTGGTGGACAAGATCTTGCTGAAACTACCGGTACTGGTACACATGATTATGATTCAGAGAGCTTAAGAACGCAGCAATTTTATGCTGCTGTGTCTGATGTCAAATGCCGTTGTGCTGTCCAGCTCTTGTTGATCCAGGTATAAATACTTGAATGTCCTGTTGCATGTTCTTAAATAATGAGTACATAGAAATAATTGTTAACGCTAGGCACGTGGCAAATCTTGGACCAATTTCTATTATGACGATTGCAGAATTTTGAAAGCATGCCTTGTTTAAATTTGCAGGCTGCTATGGAGATCTACATGTTGTATAGGACACATATTTCAGCGAAAAATGTCAGTATACTTTTTGATACTTTGCGGGCAGTGGCATCACATGCACATAAGATAAACTGTGATGCAAATCTGTGCTCCAAGCTGCTGGAGATTGGATCCATTACCCAAATGCAAGATCCTCCACTTTTACGCCTTGAAAACGAGTCTTATCAAATGTGCCTCACACTCCTGCAAAATCTTGTGCTTGATAGACCTGCAGACTTCAATGAGGAGGAAATAGAATCCTACCTTGTCAATCTCTGCCGAGAGGTTCTTCAATACTACATCGAGGCTTCGTCTGGGCAAGAAATTGAGCCTTCTACTGGTAGTGGGGCCCATTGGAAAATACCCTTGGGCTCTCGAAGACGTAGAGAGTTGGCTGGACGGGCACCTCTTATCGTGACCACTCTGCAGGCTATATGTAGTTTGGCAGAAACTTCATTTGAGAGGAACCTAGCACGGTTCTTCCCTCTGCTTTCCACTTTGATCAGCTGTGAACATGGTTCTAAGGATGTCCAGGTAGCCTTGAGTGAAATGCTTAATGTGTCAGTTGGCCCCCTGCTGCTGCGATCCTGTTGATCATTTCTGGGTTTCCTCCAGCAGAGTTAGCTGTATTATATAACTTCACCAAGGTGCTGCAGTTACGATTTTGTTGTCATCTTTGCTTCAGAATATTTCTAGCTCTGAGGTCAATATTGTAGTTTATTTAGCTACTATATCATAGTTAGTATGGCCGATCTATGTTTCCAGTTGCTTCCATACTTCATGTGATATATAACTAAAGGTATGGGATGGCATCAGGTTTCATAGATTAAGATTACAGGCTTACATCGGGAGCTTTGTTGTATGATTTTTTAGTCACTTAATTTTTTTGCATACATTTAGTGTAAAAAATATTTTTTTTCAATGAGCAGTCACAGGTTTTGGCAACTTTCCATTTTTTATGGCTGAAAAATATAATTAGCTTAATTTTTCAAACATTTACTCATTATTTCTTGGATGAAATTTATGCCAAGGCCATATCATATCCATGACGATTACGAAATCTGCACCCTTGTTTATGAAAAATATGGTAAATAACTAGATATGCTGCAAAATTGTTGGTAAGGTTTCTTAGTCTTTTGTCAACTGCCGGGATCAAATAATTGTCCAATAATGAAGCTCAAAAGCATAAAATTTCATACACAATTCAATCATAATTTGCACTTCTTTCTAAACTTCAATGATTAACAAGTTGTTGAATACAGTAGGAACATTATTTGGGAAGAGAAGAATAAGAAGGGAATACAAATCTGCATATAATAACATAATAAAAATCATCAATATGAATTTGGATCATTGTTCAGCCAACTTTGTAAGTTGTATGTTCAGCCAACTTTGCCTGGATGTTTATCATAGTACTCCGTAGTCCATATACACAAAATAGGCTGTGAATGAGACAGACTCAAGTTAAATTTTCCCTTGTATAAATTGTCCATCAATCAACAAAATCTTTTGTTCTTTTCTTAATGTGCGTGCCAAGTTGTACAATTATTATATATAATTGAATTTAACTTTTATCTGAAAAACAAGTTAAAATAAGTTTGGACACAATATAAGAAGTTACTTTAATGTAAGGACGGGTAAGTATCTATGGTTGTCTATCTATCATGATCATTTACAGTATGGTAGGTACTAGGCACTACCACACCAGCCACGCACCGGCCACCGGCCACCGGCCACCAAGCTATTAATTTATTTGGTTGACGATAACATGTGTAGTTTCATATATTTACAAAAAAAAAAAAAAAGTTGAATTTCCCACCTAATGGTAGAATTACAAAACCCAATCATACTAGTACAATAATTGGAAATAGATACAAATAATCATGAAAAATCATTGAATGTACTGCATTTCCTTTCTTATGAAAGACAATTTGATTACAACAGAGGATCCAAGAACAAAACTATTACTAGATTTTAAAGTGGCTGACCTTTTCTAGAATCTGGATTATTCCAATGGTGGGTCATACTTATCTTTGAAATCATTTGGTATTATTTTAGAACACAGACTAATAATAAAGCACAGCACATGGAATTTTCACATGTATATCCTTGGTCTTAGTAAGCATCTTATCATATTATTACCACTTTTTATATCATATTTAAATTAATCCAATGTGTATTGTATATATAAGTTGTCATCTCCCATTAAAACTCCCAACTTTCCTCAAACACCCAAAAATAAAAATATCTTCTTTTCTTAAACCCTCCTTAATTCTTGTATAATCATGCTGAAATCTATCAAAACTTCCTTGATTTCGACACGAAAATCGATGAAAGCCCTTGTTTACCAACACAAAATCCTCAAAAAGCTAATGAAAGTATGCAAGAGTAAGTCCAAGAACAGGGGATTTAATGGGTTTGATGGTATGAAAGCATCATTTGCAAGCATGAAAATGAGTAGACAATTAGAGTTAGTGTTCAAATTTATTGATGCAAATGGTGATGGTAAGATATCTCCTCATGAATTAAGAGAATTTCTCTTGTGTTTTGGGCATGATAAGTCTAAAGTAGGTGATGAAGTTGCTACCATGTTGAAACATTTGGATGCTAATGGTGATGGTTATGTTGATTTAAATGAGTACATGAATGTTTTCATGATTAGTGATCATCGCGATCATGATCATGATGTTGTTGATGGTGAAGATGATGTGTTTGTCGACGAAGATCATGATGATGATGGTGGTGGTGGGTTTGAGGAAGATGATCTAATGGATGCATTTCTTGTATTTGATTGTGATAAGAATGGTTTAATTTCAGCTAAGGAGTTGCATCATGTATTAAAGAGGTTAGGTTTTGCTAATTGTAGTATTAAGGAATGTAATCTTATGATTAAAGGGGTTGATAAAGATGGAGATGGGTTTGTTAATTTTGATGAATTTAGGCTTATGATGATGGGTTATGCATGGTAATTTTTGATGATCAAACCAAAAGAGGATGACTTCTTTTTGTGTTTGTTTTGTGATGAAGAAAGAAGCTAACTTTTAGTTGCTTTTTTTTTTTTTTTTTTTTTTTTTTTTTTTTTTGGATATTGTTAGTTTATGTAATTTCTTTGATCTTGGTTATTTCATTTTTTTTCTAGAAATTTGTATAATGTATGGTATGAAATTATGCATATGATAGGACTGCATTTGTATTTTGTGTTGTAGATAGTCACAGTGGTTTCCTACTGTAAGAAATAACAAATATCTTTGATTTTTCTTGTAAAATGTTATTAGACTTGCTTGTTTTTGGTTGCATCATTTTGTTTGACAAAAGCATATACTATAAGAAATTAAACCAGCAAATTGTTGATCGTGTGCTTCACTCAAGTTTAAATACACGTAACTTAACTACACTTTTCTCATTAAGATAATTTAAGATATTTCGCCCTTACTATATCCTAACCAGTTAGACAAGATATTCTCTAACAACTAAAGATGTTTAAAAGTATACCAGATATTACAAACCTTGCTATATGTATACTTTAGTTCATAATAGAGATGTTTTGAGAGAGGACATGGAGGTAGGGCCAGCAATGAGCCTTAACAAAAATAATTGTAGTTGGTATTCCTAGTTCAAACAACGGATGAAAGGATCGATCCAACAATTGTACTAACAAAACAATAAATACTTGTATGTATCCCTATCAACTACCAAAATCCTCTTTGGCTTCTTCTAATAATTGGATTGGAAGCAAGACTAAGGGCATGTTCTCATAGATTGAACTCAGCTGAACTGAACTGAGCTAAACTGAAATGAAAATTTAATAAGAGAAGGAAATTAGGAGCTGAATTGAACTGAACTGAGCTAAACGTATGAGAACATGCCCTAAAAATGGATTTGAGCAAGAGTAAAATTGGGTAGCTAATTTTGTTAACCAAAATCCGTTTTTTTTTTTAGGACAATTGAGCTAATGCATATTATTAATCAAGAGACAAAGTAAAAGGGGATTTTGGGTGATAAATTTCAGCTTCCCAAATTACCCCTCTTAACTTTTAACTACCATATTTAAAAGTTATAAGGTGAAATTTTAAAAGTGAGAATGTGATTGTTTAGGAAGGAGTACTTTATTCGTTTATTAAAATGTGAATCAAGTTAAGGTGAAAGATTATAAAAAGGGTAATATGATCTTTAGCACATTTAATTACATTCTGCATTTAGGTTATTTTGTACTGCATTTAGAACTTCCGATTTTAGTATTTGAATCTAGTATGGAGTACTCATTTGCACAAAACTTAGCTATTTGAACTTTTAAGAGTTTAATTAATTATTTAACTCATTTGAAGTTATAAGTGAAATTGTGGTAAGAAGAACCAGGTCAGGTCTATAACTTAGTTGTCACAAATCACGTATTATAACAATTGAACATATAGTTTACGAATTGATTGGATCAAGTCATCGAACTAGACTTAACATTTTTTACCAATCTTAAATGAGAACGATTTACTTGTTATCATCCTAAAATCACCTTTTAGATGGGTTGGATGACTTGGGTCAACAAGATAGAGGAACCGAAATAGGGTCATTTGGCAGTAACTCGCAAAAGTGGTCTTATAATAGTAGTCGTATACGAGTATTGGTTTTATACAGCGATCCCTGTCAAACATTGACCATACCAACCAAACCCCGTAAACCTGATTGAAGCACACTCCATATTCTCCATTGAGACGATTTTTCATATTTCTATCCTCCATTGAAGCAGCTTCTGTGGTAAGATGTTCTTTTTTTTTTTTTGTAATCATTGAACTTCAATTTCGCAATCTAGGGTTTATCGTTGATCTAATTCTAGTATAATCAATTTAGGGTTCTTCTAAAGTCGATTAATGAACTGTTGCTTATAAATTACTAAGGTGTGAAAGATCGTAACGACTGTTGTTAATGCCAGAGAAGAAAATGTATCTTAATTTTCGAGCGTAATTTGATAATTGAATCTGGGTTCTTATTCTTGTAGATTTTAGACTCAAAGATAATTTTTCTAATTTTTTTGGGAATTTATCAACGTAGTTTGAATAGTCATGGCTTGGAGAGGACAATTATCCAAGAACTTGAAGGAGCTTCGGGTCCTATTTTGCCAAACTTCTCCTGCAAGTGCTGAAGCACGGTATGCTTTCGAGGATTTTTGGATTGTTGATTAATTTTCCCCATTAAATTTGTGGTTCCTTGGATTTGAATATTTATTTTGTATAATGATGTTGTGTATGATAATGGGAAAGTCACAATTAAGCTGTTTTTTTGTGAATTTGGATGAGATGTATATCTTTTTTCTTAAACTTTCCTTTGAATTGTCTTAGAACTTTTGTTGAGAAGAATTACCAGGAGCTAAAGACATTGAATCCTAAATTGCCGATCTTGATTCGTGAGAGCCGTGGTGTTGAGCCCCAGCTCTGGGCTAGATATGGTAAGGATTAAGGAATTCTATGCTTACATTCGATTTTATCCTTTTTCCCCTTTGCATTTCATGCTCATCTATGGCCTTTCAAATTCTGAATATATGTGAAATGCTGGTGAAGATAATTAGTATTCCTATCAGTATGTCATTTCTGCTATTTTGTTGTCATGGTGAAACTGTGAAAGTCTATTTCTGTATTTCGTATATTTTCTTCTTGGTTTAGTAAGTCATTGAATTTGTGCAGTTTGATCTAAGAAGGGTAATCCAAATTTCTTTCCTGTGATATCTTAAATTTCGCTTTGTTTCTATTCATTGCTTTCATTCTGATGCCCTTTTACCCTTTTCTTAAAACCACATTGGGAAGAAAATCTTAAGCCTGGACAATCTGTTTGAGGGAATATATCACTACTGAAGTCCTGTCCATGGTCCTTAACTCCTTATGTCAGCACTAGTGGTCCCAATTGTGAAGTTCAAGAAAACATTGCACTTTGGCTAGAATTAGGATTACCCGCTCTGTGATGGTACCTGAGGCTGTCACCTTTAGGAATTGAATCGACATAGAGGAGTTTGTATGCTTCTACCTATTGTTAAACATTGACCTCAGCCTCCACTAATCCTTCACACTTCACTCTTATGCTATGTGAGTGGAGGGGAAAAACCACCTTGATACTGTCAGAATTCAGTCAGGCCTTGCTGTTGGCATGAGCTGGGCATGGAATGTGGTTAAAGGAGAGAGAATGAATATAGTATTGATAAAAGGGGGTATATAATCAGGAAAGATTTCCAGAATGTAGTCCTTATCTCATTCATTTGGGTTGTATTGTTGAATGGTGATCTAATAGCACCTTTAATAAAGCTTCTGCTTCTCTATTTTCTCATGCCTTCTTTCTTTTCTTAATTTTGTCATAAATTCTTGCCAGTCTCTAATTATCTCAGTCCATATCAAATCACCCTATAACGGTTATGATGCTCCTGTTGATTAATCATCGCAGCTCAAGTTTTTAGGATATTTTTGGTCATGAGCTCTCTCCACTTTGAAGGCTCTTAAGTTCCAATATGTTAGGGACTTAGGGATTTTAGTTGTGGAACTCTTGAGCATTCTGCTGTGCTCATGACCACAGTTTAGGTGACTATGTTTATGCCAGACTTCATTGTAGCTCTGATCTTCTGTCCAAAATCTTAAGGTACCGGCAGATCTAATGACATGGTGTTGAATCCTTCGCGATGGAAATGCCCTCTTCCCCCAATCAACTAAGGGCATTTTTAACTCTATCCCATACCTATGGAATCCCAATACCCACTTCTCCGCCCGGTATCCACACTTTATACTATTTATGAAGCATATAATCCATTCCACATTACAAAAAGATTAGTATGGGTTTTAGAATCCACACCTTTTTAGTATGAGATTCCATACCAATCCATTCCAATTTAATGAACCACTCATATTCAATTCCTCTCAATTGCTCCACCATTTATTTCTGCATACTTTTCATTATAAATCAAACCTATATTTTGATCCTCAATGTCCCCTTTATACTTGCATTGCGATACACTGTAATATTACCTTCTTCTGGACATTTCAAGTTTTCTAGAAATATGTTGGACGTTGCTTAATTAATAGAGTGATTATGAACTAAAGTGTTTATCTACATTACTTGAGAAAATATTTGTTAACAGCTAAAGTCTGATGCCAAACAAAGCAAACCTTAATTAGACAGTGGCTTTTTAGTTCAGGCTATCAGCTAAAAGCACTTATGTTAAATTTTACATGATACTCACATGATGAACGACGGAAGCACTTTGCTATCTATGCTGTTCTAGTAGTAGATTAGGAAATCACACATTGTAGATATGTCAAAAGTAGATAGACTTTTTCAATTCCATTGGCATTTAGGATTGATGTCAAATCTGATGCTTGAAACTGGTATTGGAAGAGTGAAAAATTGTGAATGATATGTTTCTCATCTGTGGCATTTTTGGTCCCAGCAATATGTCTTCACTCTTTCATTGGCTACTTGTGAAAGTTTTCACCACTAAATTTGACATAATGCACTGTTTTGTGTAGACTTTGGTGTTGAAAAAGGCGTCCGATTGGATGGCATGAATGAGGGACAGATTTCAAAGGCGCTTGAGGATCTTGTGAAAGCTGGGGAAGCTCTTAAAGCTTGAGACTTCTTCAGCTCTTCTTTGAGCAGTTGGACCCCTCTGCTAGATGAGCCGAACTGTCTGTCAGTTTCTTTGCTTCAGCCATACTTAAGGGAGTGAATTGCATTTTGTTCTTTTCTTATTTCCCCTGTATTATCGAAATGAACTAGCATTTGTCCTCTATTATAAGCAGCAGAAGGGCATTAAGCTACAGTCACTGTTCAACTGTTGCTTCCTTGGCTGTTTCAGAGTTGTAAACTGTAATAAGCATCCTATAAATTCACCATCATTTGGGAATTGTTCAGCAAATTTAACCAAAATTTTTGTCTACTATAACAAGTTAAGATCTACTTGATTGTTATTTTGGGTAGGACTCAATGCTTAATTGCCAAGCCCAATTCCTTCTCAGCCCATTGAAGAACGGCTAGGCCCATATTTTAATCTAAGCTAGTTTTTATTTTATATTTTTTGAAAGAAAGATCTAATCTGAGCTAGTGATTACTGATTAGTCCATGTTTAAACTAATGGATACCTTATATGTAGTTAATTGCCCCCATTACTATTTCTTGAATATACACTTCTTTTTTTTTTTTTTTAAATGTTTGTATATGAGGTTATAAAATACATCGTACGAAGTATAAATAAATAAATTAAAAATTGGAGATGTCCTTTTCCTTTTGGTCCCTGTTCTACCCCTTGTAAAATTTTCACTCATCAGGCTGTTTGCAGGTGTTCCTTTACACAATTAATTTCTTATTATATTCACCTTATTTAGTATTTTAGACAAGTCAACTTTATGACAGTTTAATTTGAATAAGCTCAATTATACTTATGTTTTGATAAGCTACTAGTTTTAGGCTAAATAAAAATAAGTTCAAATCAGATTTATAAGATATCGTATGCACCCATAAAGAGAAGCTACAAAACTATTATAATTACGAAATTTGCCAAATAGACTGTATTATTGACTTGCTAGCATAGTAAATTATATTCTTCTTTACTTACACTATTTTAACAAAATTGAACTTCAATTTTTTCAATAATCAAAATTTACTTTATGTAGTCAAACATTACCTCATATCCACTAGACTTGGCTAAATCTTCATCAACTATCATCCAGTTGGTTATATTTTAATTTCAATGTGATTCTCTACTTGATTATTCAAAATTAAATTGATCATTTTCTACAAAAATGTACTTGTTTCATTGTCTGTCATATGGTTGGTTACCATCTAATTAATTAAATTGCCTAAAATATCTTTAATATTTCTATTTTTATACATCAATGTCTTACTTTATAAATAAGGAAAGTGCAGTATTCATTCCTCAAAATAATATTCATAACCAATAGGTAAGAACTAAGAAATGTCAGTTGATTAGGTCTAGATCAAGCACCACTTTTACTAATTTAAAATTAGATTAGGCGGATAAATTTTTGATTAAAATTAATTAATTAGATCTCTTTCTAAGATTGATAATTAGATTAATTAACACTTTGAACAAATGTCGTAGGTAATGATTAGCCTCTTTCCAATGTTAAAAAAAATATTGGTTGCTTAGAGATTACTAGATTAGCGACTATCTTATTCATATTCATATAATCATATAAAAAACTTTTCAGAGATAAACTATATTTTTTTTGTTGTAAAATATTGGACAAAATATATTACACTTAATTTATCAGTACAAAGTTGTCGAAAGATTTGCCTATAAATGGCTACTGAATAATTAAATGCTTTAAAAAATGCAAGTACCTGATTTTGTTTGCATACAACCTATGCTATGTTTATGGAAGGTTCCAATTTTTATAACATTTCCAATGAAGTTGGAACTACATAATTAAACATGAGCCTAGTCTCCCACAAATAAATGTATTAGTACTATGATTTAAAATGTGCATTATTTTTATTTATTTATTTATTAAAAAAAAAATATTTATTCCCATAATAATTAATATGAACATGACATCTTTTGTTATAAATAGGTCGACATAACATATACTAAATCAATGGTCTTAATACTCAATTACTCATCTAATATAACTATCTATATAAGGCTCAAGCCAAAACTTTTATTTCCTTCTTGTTGATACCAAATAAAAATTTTCAATTCCTCAAAAAAAAAAAAAAAAAAAAAAAATCAAGAAATTTTAATTAAACAAATAATATATTATTCATTTTATTGAAACAATTTTGACATTTTATCTTCGGGTTATGACATATCTTATTTGTATTGGACCCCTAAGCTCCTCTAACAATAACATGCAAATAATGTAGGTCTTAATTAATGCTCATCTAGCACCAGTCCAATAGGAAGTATCAAATCGATAATTTAGTTTGGGAGACACGGAACACTTTTAGGTAAGACAATTAAGGCTCTTAATCTTATTGAGGATAATAAGTAGTTGTTAATACTTTGTTATTACTTTCTTTTGCTATCATGCCTATCAATGGGTCAAATCATGAATACTTATCTGGCATCAGGGGATTTAGGAAAGTTGATCCTCTAAAACCTCTTTTATTCTAGAAAAAGTATCCGAGATTGTTTCACTTAGCTAATTTAATTTGACTGCAAAAACTTTACCTAATTTAGTTGTACAATACATCGTAATTATTTACTACTTTATGGTAACTTAACCTAATTTAGGGTAATTCTTATTCATTATAGTTTTTTATTAAAATTTAGTAAAAAATATTTTAAGGATTACTTTACAAACAAGTGTTTTTAAATTACAAGGTCAATTTTCGTGTAAATAGACTAATTAAACTATAAATTATAGATGCTCCATAGATTTTAATTTATATCGAAGTAATTAGTTAATTATTATTGATTATTTTAGAATAACTTTAATTTCAATGTACATTTTTTTTAATTTATTTATTTATTTTGTTTGAAGACCAATGTACAATATTAATTGTACACCCGGTTTGTTTTAAATTTTATATTAACCGAAAGTGACCTATAAAATATAAATACGATATATTTATCATCTTTATTTATGAAGTTTAGATAGAAAAGTTATTTGGAGATATTGAAATCATATCATATGCTAAAAAAAATTAGAAAGGGTAGCTTTTTTTTTTTTAGGTGAAAATAGCTAGATTTTAAACCAATCTAAAAAAACATTTATCAACACTTTTCCTAAATTTCCTAATCATAATTTAGAATCATTTCTACATTTAGTACCCCTTTAAAGAAAAAAACAATAATTGATTAGAACACCAACTAAAAGTCCATATATTAAACATGGTCATTACTTAAGACTAAATATTTGGAATTCATGCCTAGCTAAGTTGTTTATCTCAATTAAAAAAGGATTTGTGACACCATCATGAACGGGCTTAAGCTTTTTTTATTAATAGGAAAATGGATAACTATCTAATGAAGATTGTAGCTCTAGTAAGAGGTTTTTTTAACAAAATATGTATGCAATCTTTTAATTCATCCCTTACTTAATTAAAGTGCATCATATTCACAAAGTTTTAAATAATTATTTGAATGTATTAAAACTTAATTTAGTTGTAATTGGTATTTGACAAACCTTTATTACCATGGACTAGTTATAATTGGTATGTGAATAACTGAATAATAACCTTAATTTAAATTTAGTGTTTCATAATTGTATATAAGGTGAACAAAATATAATCTTACTTAAAACATATGATAGTTAAAGATACTGCGAATTCAACTTGATTAACTTAATATTGGATTTATTATCAGAACTTATAAGCTAGCTTCTTGAGAACTATTTTATCTTAGATATGATGGAGAAAATTGCAAAGAAGAGAACAACTATCATAACAGGTTTAATTTATGTAACAAAACTACAATGTGTAAATCCTCAAGTATCAAAAACCAAGCAAACTTTATGATGAGACAGAAGAAATACTCCATATAACATTAAAACTTCTTCCGATACATACATACAATATAACAATACAATATTAATTTAATAATATGGGGTTAAAATTAACAATACGACAAAGGAATCTATGATATGTAAGCAACAATTAGCGTTGACAAAATGCCAGCAAGAAATAGATCAAAGAAAGAGAGAGATTATTGATGAACAAAGTAGTAGTTGAAGTTGAAGTCGTGATTAGAATGATTCCAATTACCACATCGCTATCCATCACATGGAGACCTCATCACCTTAATTTTTGGTCGGTTGTTTAATTCTTTTATTATTCACTAAATTCAACGCAAGTGCCCAATTATTTTATTAATCCTCTTAATTACATTTAATTAATCAAGGTTTTGTCCTATAATTAAAGGACCACTTTTGGATTAAGTCTTGTAATTGGAGGATAAGTGTTAGGGGCGGGAAAATTGGAACAACCTCAAAATCACTTTCCACCCTAAAAAAAAAAGTGTTAAAAAAAAATAAAAAAAAAAAAGAAAAAGAAAAAAAGAAAAAAAATAAAGAACATGCAACATTATGCAAGATTCGAGGGAACTTAATTAGGTGCTCATCACATGTCATGTCAACTTATTTCTATGTTTTTGCTTAATGTGGTCCATAAACTATAGAATATTGAATAATACATGTATAAAATGTAATGTATCTTTGCATAATATAAAGTAGCTTTCATATAGAAACTATAGTTTATTTATTGGTAAGTGGAGTATGGGCTTTGATTTCTTATGCTTCACTCTTATGTGTATGTAGTGATAACTATCTAGCAAATTAAAGTTAATTAATTAAAGAAGAGTTGATTAAGACATGGTTTAGAGTAGTTAGTTTATTACTTCTTTTTTTCTACCAAAATAATTAAAATAATTTGTTTGAGTTGGCATATTTCACCATATAATTGCAAGTTGCTACAATTTTCAAGGTCTATCTCTATATTGCTAAGCTAGCTACTTCTCTCCAAAGGGAATGCTCTCTTAGCTGTTTTTGTACACCAAAACTTAATTGTTTTCTTGCTCACTAAATTCAATGAAAATTGATCCATTTGTTTTTAGAGATTGTGAAGCATGGCATCGTTTATTTTATTAGATTAATGATTAGTTCGATTAAATAAATAGATGCGCAACATTGCTATACAATTATTTTCTTGAAAATAAACAACCAACTATAACATAGACCGGGGTAGTAAAGGAGAAAATTTCAAATTAAATATGAATCTGACAGTATCGAACTCTGACATCTCGTCTAAAGTTCTTCAATCAACTTGGCCAATTGCTAGATCAAAGTTGCTAGTTTAAATTAATGACATGACGAAGAGTCTAATATTCTAATATTAACATTGATTTCATGCTTACATACATGTCTCTAACCCTTAATTATTTGTTAAGTGAAAATATCAATTAGATTTTTTTTCCCCACT